AAGGAACCATGGACGCCTGCTTTGTAGACAACCTACCGTTGTTTTTAACTCTCTTTCACAGGTGACAAAGCCAAGAGAGTTAAATATTTGGCCAAGATCACCAGCTAGAATCTGACCCTCATTCAGTGCTCTTTCTACTATTTGATGGCAGCTCAAGAACAGGCCAGAGTTTGGTTCTCAGGGAGCAGACAAGTGGGGCCAAAGACTGGAAGATAAAGAGACAACTGCGTATCATTTACTGAGCACATTCTCAATGGTTAGTACGTAATTAGTCATCAAAATAGAGATGAGGACAGAGACCTGCTCAGAAAATGGTGGACAAAGAAAAGTGAGTAGCAAAGGTCAGCAAGGGCACAGTGGGGGAGTACAAGGAAGATGGGGAGATGGGTTCATTACTCAAGGATGGAAAACAAAGGAAAAGAAATTTAACATAGAAGGAGGAACCTCAGGACAGACTCATTCAGCAGGTGCTAGAATGGAAAAAGACAGCACACAGCAGACTAAGATTCCTGTGAATGAAGAAAGAGCATTTTGACTTGGAGCAGAGGGCTGGGACTATGGCCCAGCAAGAAAAGACCTGATTTAGTTTAGTCAAGTTAATCAGCCTAGGGGTAGAACAAATTACATGTATAGACAGCAGTCCCTTGTGATATGTTGAGTCAAGCTGCACTAATGAAGCAAATAATCTGTGTACTGGTGATTTGTCTATATGTATGTTGTATGCCCTTTGTAACCTTGAGGTTATTCTCTTGGGTATAAAGTGGACTGTGTGCGCTAAATGACTGGCTGAATATATAACAAACCAAAATAGATGAGGAAGAGCCCTGTACAGGCTGGCCATGAACTTGGTTCAACTCCATTTGCAAGCAACTGTTACCTCTCTCAGACTAAGGCTAACTGAAACTTAAAATATTGTCTTTTTGTTTCACACATCAAGATACCCCTGCTTTATGTTCAGGTTTTTTTTTTTCTTTTTTGCTAATGTTGAGCTAATTTGATGTTTTATTTTTTAAGTAAATAAATGAGTCTAAACCACTGGTTTTACAATTGGTGTGCTCCTTTTAGTACAAGAAGCTCAGTCAAACATTACAAGTGTACAGACTGTATTTTTTTTTTTTTTTTTTTGCGGTACGTGGGTCTCTCACTGTTGTGGCCTCTCCCGCTGCGGAGCACAGGCTCCGGACGCGCAGGCCCAGCAGCCATGGCTCACGGGCCCAGCCACTCTGCAGCATGTGGGATCCTCCCAGACCGGGGCACGAACCCGCGTCCCCTGCATTGGCAGGCGGACTCTCAACCACTGCGCCACCAGGGAAGCCCCCAGACTGTATATTATAGTGCACAGGGCTTATAAAGCTTAATGCGGTAAATTACTGATGCCTAGAGTAACACCTAGAGTAGAATTTTATGTCATTCATAGTTTCCCTTCCTGGGTTATCCATACTTCAAGGGCCAGAACTATTTATGTTTTCTTATTTAGTAATATGTAAACACAATGCCAGTTTTTACTACCTTACCCTTGAATTTTCTCACTCTTGGCTGTACATGTTCACCCACTTCCCTGACAACCTTGGAATACTTCTGCTTTAAAAGCCACTGGATTTCTTCAAAATCTTGCCCTTTCATGTATCTACATATAACCACTATATGGTTTTATATATAGTGACAGTAGTTAATAACACTGTATTGAATATTTCAAAGTTGCTAAGAGAGTAGAGATCTTAAAAGTCCTCATCACAAGAAAAAGTTTGTAACTATGTGTGGTGACGGATGTTAACTAGACTTATTGTGGTGATCATTTCACAGTATATACAAATATTGAATCATTATATTGTACCCCTGAAACTAATGTTGTAAAATAAAATTTTTAAAATTAAATAATAATGTCAATTATACCTCAATAAATTTGAGATACATCCTTCAGGCCGTATGTCATCTTCTCAGGGAAATATTTGCTTCTGCTTCATATAAGCAGGGCCCCTTGTTATATGCTCTCATAACACCTGTTTAATTTTTTATTGTTTGCCCCCACTCCTACCCCAGCAGAATGTAAATTCCATGAGGGCAAGGACTTGACTTGTTCACTGCTCTTTGCCCAGAGTTCAAACATGTGTTGAATGAAGAAATCATACTTACCACTCTTTGTTATCTTATATTTGTATAATTATTGGACTCATATCTGTCTCTCTCATTAGTCAGTAAGCTCTCTAGAATAGTAGCTGTATCAGCTGTGCTTGCCATTGTATCCCTGCATCTTCTCTGCAGGAGGCTTTCCACAAATATATATTTAATACATTTTATTACAACCATGTGCAAAGTGCAGAGGAAAAGATCACATCAAAAGGGCAATACTGATTGCATTAGGATTGTGAAAATATGACTGATTTTTTTCTCTATCTACAAGAAACATTATAATGTAAAATGATAATATAAATAAAAACTCACATTAAAAAGAAACATATATTGTACTTATTGAATAAACATAATTTTACAAAAATTAAAAGTGGAATTGATACCTGTAATTACTGTATTCTAAGAGACCGGGTGTTTGATTTTTTTCCCTAGTGTGTCTAAATGCGTGCATCATTTTCACATAGATATAAGCATAGATAAAATGTTGTACTTTGTTTTTTCTGCTTCATGTTATGTCACATGCTACATTGCCTGAGTAATTATTTTTAGCAACTGCATAATGTTCAGTTAAATTAATGTACTTTGTGGGGGGTGGGGAGTGGGAGGGTATTTCTTTAAGATACATGTCCTGGAGTAGAATTCACACTGTCTGAGTATTCACATGGAGGTACAGATTTCTGACTTCATTGGCCAAATGTTAACAAGAAACAGTCAGTGATGGATTTGAGTGCAAGTGTGGAATGAGTGCTTGAGATGAAATTAAATGAAGTGTGATTATTTTAAAAGAGAGTCAATGTTATATGGAGGCTTTAGAAAAAAATAATAAAGTTACGTTTATTAGAGAGTTCCTAAGTCGGGTAGCTTGACTGTCCTCTGAAACGAGAAGGATGTGTTGAGAAGTGGGCAGGGATGCTGCTGAATGTTGGGGTTTGATAATTTGGAAGGGTTTTTGAGGAACTAGAGGTCATGTACAAATGTGGGACATTAGGGAATTTCCTGGATGTCCAGTGGTTAGGGCTCAGCACTTTCACTGCCTGGGGCCCGGGTTCGATCCCTGATTGGGAAACTAAGATCCTGCAAACTGTGAGGTGTGGCCAAAAAAAAAAAAAAAA